CAATAGATATTTGTACTGTTTTAACATGAAATTCAACTTTTTTAATAAATAATTCGTTCCAAAAAAAACTTCTCTAGATTAAATGATTGGAAATGATTATTCAGATAATTAAATTTTAATTTTTACGCTTCATAAGAAGATCGACAAAGATATGAGTCGATTACTTTCAGTTTAAAATGATTTTGAAAATAATTCTTTCCACCTTCAATGAATGTGTGCCTTAAAATAGTGCAACTTTATCTCAAATATTTTCATAAAAACAAAAATGCAGCAAATATATTTTTTACTTCAAGGCCGCATCCTGTATAAAATTTGAAGTATTTTATTTCTTTTTAACATTATGCTTTAGTTATTTTTTATTCAGAATAGCACGTAGAAAAAATTCAACCGTTAAAAAAAGTCGTAGATATCTATAAAAAAATAATATACTTTTGTGAAAAATCACATTACACTACAGTGGTAGAGCTTCTTAAATAATGTTTTGTTACTAAATTCGCATTTATTTATTATGATTATTATATGTATATACATATGTATATTGTTCATAATAAAATGTGAAATGTCGGATTCAATTCAAGAAATAATTTTCAATAAAGAAACGACAACACTGTCTATATCTTTTGATTTTAATTTCTACCACCAATAGTGCGACGAGGTATATGAATAGACCAAGCATCTTATAGAGTTCCCGTGACCTGAAATATTAAAAAATGACTGGTTCTTTTAGCGCATTCTATGTTTAAACAACGGTGAATTGGGGAATTACATCAAGTAAAACGATCGAGGTTGGTCAAGTAGTGAATGCTCCAGCAACATGATTTTTGAGACCTATTGCGGTATTGTCAAACTTTCAATACCGAAATGTGAAGCTAGTAACTAACCGGAATCATTCTATTGTATATTAGAAAGAGCTCTATTCATCTTTTACGGATTACAACGTTTTTCAATATATAATAAATTTTAAAATTATTAATACATAGTTTTATGTACAAATGATTTATATTGTATTAAATATTCTTAAAAACAATTTTTAACTAAATAAATTTTCAACTATTTTAAATTATCATTAATCTTAAATTATCAAATTTATGTTATTTTATTTTCAACAATTTTATAATTATGCAGTGCATTAATTATGACAAATAATATAATTTTTATAATTCATTAGTTAAAAATTACGCTTATTAATGAAAATATTATTTGAAATTTTCGTATTTTGCCTATCAATATTATGATAATAACAATTATTTATTTAATTATTTATTTGTTATTTATTTATATACATAAATCTTTAATATTGGGATTAACAGGCATTACATCCCAACCGAGTCGATGGCCCATGCTAATCGAGTGGCTAATCGAGTGGCTGATTGTGAAATTCAGTGCTTGACGACAGCAAATGATTGAGGCTAAGTGAGATCCGCGGAAACATGTCTCAACTCAAGGTCAACGTATTCTGGTGGTACACACCAGCATGGATTTAAATGGCCCTTCACATAACCAGCAGTCGCTTATGCCAGTAGAAGAAGTCAACTTTGATGGTATGTTCGCTACCGATCAGTCTTCGGTGTACAAGTACTGATCTTCGCAATAATCAAACGAATGTAACTGTATTGTCACTTGATTACAACAATTACACAGCAATTAATTATCCACATTCGCATCTCCATTTGCACTTTGAACGCATCTTGCATCAGTATTGCACTTTGAACATTCAAAGTGCAAAAACACGAGACGTTCAAGGTGAGCAGGACTTCAGCGCGAGTATTTAATAATTCGTGTGCTCTGTATCATGTCTAGTTTATATTTCTTTGAATGTATTCCTTGCATGTTTGTTAGATCAGAGTTCAGAAGCATAGGTGAAAACGATTGCTGATTCTGTTATGTTCTTCAGTATCCTCGAGAAACGGTTGGCATCGATCGTTTTATCGATTATTTATTTCATCGTTTTCAGATGAGCTATAATAGAGCAATTAAACGGATCATCTTTTTTTAGAACTAGCCCGTTCTGCCAAAGATCGCGCAGCAGAAATGCTGCAATTTTCACAGAACAGAAAGATTAAACTTCAACAAATCAGAATGTTTACAATTTCCACGACGAAAGGAAATGTTACAATTTTCAACGAGTAATCAAAAGATGTAGTAAAGAATTTGCATAGTTTTTCACCAAGTAAAGTACTTTCATTTACAAGTAAAATTCAGCATTCGGTTAGACAAGACAAGTTCATTACTATAGAATTAAACGTATCTTTTAATAGTCAGACGCCACACTTGACGGCCTGTGCAGCAGCAAGTAAATCTCAACAAAAGCATACGGAATAACTAGCAGTTAGTTAAACACGAATCACCCACGATAGTGAACAAAAAATTTATTTTGTGTTGCGTGTTGCTAATAATCATAGGAATATTCTATTTAAGGCAGTGTGAGACAAATGAAATTTCTGATATATTCTTTAACAATCAAATTTTAACCTCTGTAAATAAATTTTATTGGTAATTATGTCATCACTTTCTCGCTATGTCTAAGCAGATTTTATATTTTTTGAAACAGCAGCTGTAAGAAATATTATTTACATACGAATTATTGGGACTATTATAGAAATCATTTGTGACGTAATAATTTTTCTAAAGTTTTGATATTTTAATTAATTTAATTATTTTATTACTTTATTTATATATTTCTATGTATT